AACAAAAACAAGACAACAAAAGCAGGGTTCTTCTCAAAAAGACGTGACACAAATAAAAGATGATTGACGTACCAAGTAATTCCAAGTGATATTGGAGCCTGGGTTACACTGGGCTGTCTCACGAGAGATGGGGGCCTCATTCTAAGTTGTGAGAACGAAAAATAAGTTGCAAGTGTAGTCAAAAATCCAGAGTAAACTTGGTAATCACTATGATGTTGATAGGCCGAAATTTGTTGAAAAGTGTTGAACCAAAACGACCTGGACCCGAATTCAAAGTTAGAAATAAGGTACAGATCAAAAGTTCATAATAGTAAATTCAATATTGTGTTTGAAGTTGACAGCAATATACTTACAATATACTTATAGAAAAACAGAGAATGAATATTGGGTGGAATCGGTACTGGGTACATTATGATTATGGTATCATTAGATGCTTCAAATGTTGTCGTTATGGTCATCAAGTGGAAGACTGCAAAGAAAAGAAAGTATGACCTAAATGCAGTAATGAACATGATTATAAAGATTGTTCCAGTGATGTTGTTAAATGCTTCAATTGTGAATTGTCCAACAGGAAATATGGTCTGGAACACGAATACTGTCCATGTTGTCTGGGATGTGAATAAGTGTAAAACCTATCAAAGAATGGAGCGATTTCAAAAAAACAAATTTTGTTAATTAGCAGTTAGATGCAAATATTTTCCTAAACTCCAGTGTATTTCAATTGCCAGGGCTAGCTCAACAATAAAGACAATATTACTGTTTTGGTTACAGATTGGAAACCAAGATTACTGTTCTTATCAGAAACCCATGTGACTGAAAATGTTGATCCAATAGAACTGAAGATTGATGGGTATAATTTGGAATAATGTGTAACAACTAACCAAAGTCATGGCCCTAATGAGAACTGACGTTAAATATAAAATCAAAATAGTGCAGTGTGTCCAGAACTATGTATGGTTGTTATCTCTTGAACTAGGCCCAACAAATTCGAAGTTTCTATGCACCGTATTGTACCAACTGCCCCAGAAAGAAAATGTAAATTTTGTTGACTTCTTTGCAGATTACCTGGATCAGGTGAGTGATTTTAGACGTATTTTGATCTCTTGAAAGATTGTTTCTATGGAAATAAATTGTTAAAAACTATATATTCAAATGAATTTAGTCAAACCGTAAGCTCTCCAACTCAAATTACAGAACAATAATATGGCCGATGTTAAAATATTGGCAAATTTACTTGTACAAAGTAGGTATAGCAAACATTGGAAGACATGTGCAAGCAGAAGTACACTGATAAGTACTGGATTACACATGAAGTAAGAGAAATGATGAAGGAGAGAGATGCCCTATATAAGAGAGCTGTTATTTTAAGGAATGAGTATAAGATAAAAAGGAATAAAATTGTGAAACAGATTAGGGTTGAGAAGGAGAAATATTACCAAGGGGCCATAGACGAAAATAAACATAATCCAAGAGAATTGTAGAAAAACCTAAAAACATTGTTTCCTGGAAAGAACCACCATTGCCCTAAACAGTTATATTTGACAGCCTAATTTTGGCAGATGAAATGAAAATAGCCACTGAATTCAATAAAGTTTTTGTCAACAGTATTTCTGAATTGATTGACAAACTGCCAGAAACCCAGGGTACTACTTCTGCTATCACCAGTATTGCCCACTACATTACACATGATGTTTTTTTTTTCAGTTAGAGAGAATATCTATAGGATTTTTACGCTATATTTAGGATGACGTCACATCTAGTAAGTTTCTGCTGCCAACCTAACAAAACTAAAAGTACTTTTTAACGCATCTAAAGCAGGAGAATTTCAGATCTTTTTAGTTGGCAACGGCGTGCGACGTTGCATGACTTGTATGAACATTTTCATGTCGTTATTTTTAGCTGTCGTCAAAATTATTGACACATGATATTCTGGTAAATTATAAGAAAAAAAATAGGCATTGACAACATTGTTTGCCCTTGTTCGGTGACGTCATCGTAAATATAACATAAAAAACTTACTGTATGTGAAAATAAGTAGGTACAGGGTGTTTTTTTATATATTGACATCCCACTTACAGCCTTTACCTTTACAGGTAGAGGAAAGGCGCAAATACAAAAATTGTACAGTTTTGGCTGAATTTTTAGAAACCATGGTCAGAAACAAAATTTGAATGTCAGAAATGTGAAATTTTGCATGCTTCCAGCTTTTTTCGAATGGGATACCCTATATTTCATTCTATATTCTTGAAGAGCACAATGCCCCGATTCCAAACATATATTGTTTGTTGAGCAGCCTATTATATATTCGGCTCCAAAAATTGTGAAAATTCTATCCTACTTAACTGATTTTGTGAACCATTCTACCTGTACAGGTGAAAGCTTCAGGTAAAATTTGAGGTACCTACTTGGTTTCTCTGATAGTATTTTTGAAATTTTTATGACCAAATATTGTCGGATCTGGGGGTTATGAGGAGATGAGAATCAAAACTAGTACCAAGCACAAAAATAGAAAAGTGTATTTCAAATAAAGCTTACCACGAATACATTTCAGATATGGGCATGGGCCAACATGGTACGTGATTTCTAATTACAATAACTGCCGATGACCTGGCGTCGACATTGACCTTCTATGGATTTCAGTTCCATGTCCGTACAAATTAATAATTTAATAATTCGTTCAACTTGCAATGTTATTTACATGTAACGTGACCGATGGTCTTCCTGTAATCCATGAACTTTTTTGGAAGATGAGTGAGTTTAATTTACCGAAGGGAGATGCCCTATCATCCTAGATACGACAATATTTTGGAGGTGGCTCGACCAAATATAGGCAAACTATATAGTTTTGGAATCGGGAAATTGTGCTCTTCAAGAATATAGAACCAAATATAGGGCATCCCATTTGAAAAATGCTGAAAGCATGCCACATTTCACATTTCTGACATTCAATTTTTGTTTCTGACCATAGATTCTAAAAATTTAGCCAATACTGTACAACTTTTGTATTTACACCTTTCATCTACTTGTAAAGGTAAAGGCTGTAGGTGTTAATATATAAAAAAAACTCCCTGTACTTGAACAATAACTTATTATACCTTGGATTGTTGCGGAACTTATGGGTGGACCTCTGCGGGACGAGCGAAGCGAGTTCCGCAGCCATCTATTCGTTATTACGTTGTTCAAGTAGGATACTAACCTGACTCACTCAAATGTCAGTTGTTCTCATTAGTTTAAAAGCTACAAGTCTCAGGTGAGTATCTTATTTGGATAGTTCAACAGTATATTGGTGAAAAGATGGCTGCGGAGGTCCACCCATGAGTTCCGCAACAATCCATTTATTTGTACTTCAAAAATAACTTATTATATAAAGTCAGAATTTGTAAGATTATCCCCTTTCTGTCAATTTGCCTTTTAACAGGAATTAGTAATGTTACTTTACCAAACTAGTATTATATTGTGACAAGTTATTCAAGTACAAACGAGTGGATTGTTGCGGAACTTATGGGTGGTCCCAGTCATTTATTCACCAATATGTTGTTCAAGTACAATATTCACTCAGTTGTGAATTTTGCTCATTAGTTCAAAAACTACACGTGTCAGGTGAATGTCTTATTTGAACAGTTCAACAGTATATTGGTGAGTAGATGGTTGCGGAACTTGCTGCGCTCGTCCCGCAGAGGTTCACCCGAAAGCTCCGCAATAATCCACTTATTTGTACCGGGTGTTTTTTTATGTATTGACACCCCACCTACAGCCTTCACCTTTACAGGTAGAAGAAAGGTGTAAATACAAAAGTTGTACAGTTTTGGCTGAATTTTTATAAGCCATGGTCAGAAACAAAATTTGAATGTCAGAAATGTGAAATTTTGCATGCTTCCAGCTTTTTTCAAATGGGATCCCTATATTTCATTCTATATTCTTGAAGAGCACAATGCCCCGATCTATATTTGATTGAGCAATCTCTCATATATTCGGCTCCAAAAATTGTAAAAATACTATCCTACTACTGATTTTGTGAACCATTCTATTACATGTACAAGGGAAAGCTGCAGGTAAAATTTGGGGTTCTTGGTTTCTCTGATGGTATTTTTAAAATTTTTAGAACCAAATATGTTGGAAAAGGCTCAACCAAATATAGACAAACTATATAGTTTTGGAATCGGGAAAATGTGCTCTTCAAGAATATAGAACCAAATATAGGGCATCCCATTTGAAAAAAGCTGAAAGCATGCAATAATTCACATTTCTGACATTCAATTTTTGTTTCTTAACATGGATTCTAAAAATTTAGCCAATACTGTACAACTTTTGTATTTACACCTTTCATTTACCTGTAAAGGTGAAGGCAATACATAAAAAAACACCCTGTACTTACATATATAAAGTTGCAAAAATATACAAGCTCATCTATTAATTGGACCATTCTTAATAGTATCAAATTTTACAATAGAAATTGTTAGAATTCCGTTCACTTTATTTTCTCTGCTAATGCCAAGAGAACGTCGATGATCATTTAAGTATGCATATGCCAATATAAAAAGTAAAAGCAGGAAATAGCCCAGCCCAAATCCCTTTTCTTGTGATGTAGCGATTACAAATTAAAAATCCAACACATATCAAGCAAATTCAAATTATTCAACTCTCTGCAGCTTTATATGAAATATTAAAGTTTCAGCTTTGGGAAGTCAGTAGTGATAATTACTGCAAGTAGAGTAGGTACCATTTTAAGTAACTCTTGGAATTTACACGAATATTACTTCTTACTTCAAGCAGTTTAGGCATTGAGAAAGTTGCAAATTAAGACTGAGTTTTGGGTTAGTTCGGCAGAAGTCATTAAATATTTAAACGGTACGTTGGTAAAGTAGATTCTGCAAAGTTTTCAAGTTCCTGTTTTGATGAGAAAATAACATTTTTTGAATTATTTAAACAAATTTAATTAAAACAACTTTTTATGTGTATGAAATTATGGAGATTTCGTTGTTATAGGTTAATAACAAAACCGCTAGGCATTTTAACAAATAAAATTAAACAAAATATTTTTATTTCCACAATAATAATTAATAACTATTGAAAATTCCATTATAAGTGAGAAAATCATTTTGTACTATAATGTATGGCAACATTGAGGCCTTTGGCATTAGATTCTCTGAAAGCTTCGTTTCAATTTCCACAAAAACCATCTTCAGGCAAATACTCTGCTACCAAAGTCTTGAATTCGTCCAAAGGACAAAATTCAGCACAACCTGGCAGTTTCAGTAACTTCGGTGTGGTTGTACCATTGTAGTTTTGATAATAAATCTATAAATCAAAATCGTTTTTTCACATTTTGTAGATTAAACCGCAGTAAGTTTTTACCTTGAATCCATGAGTATTATTGATATTGTGCAATTCGAATAATACATAAGAACCATAAGTAGGTATGTGTGGGTATTCGAATAAATCCAAAGTGGCAAAAAGTTGTCCGATATTGTTTTCATGGGCAGAGTAAAGGTAAATTTTGGTATCGTTGTTTGCTGAATTGATTTTGTTTTCAGAGTCGTTAATTATTTTCTGAATCCAGTAACCTTGAAAGAATTACGATATTTGAATCTTCATTAACAGACATTAATAACTCACCAGCTGCAATTTTTCTCAACCCAGTAGTCTTGGTATAAATCCCATATTGTTTGAAAGATATTTCGTTGACAATATCCGGCCAAACTTCTCGAGTCCATTCGGGCAACTTCAGCCCGTATTCCTCTTCGGTGGAGAGGCCAAAGTACAAGTCGTAAACGTCTTGAAACTTTGTTACGTTCAAACCGGAATGTTCGCTGATGTACGCAAAAATAGCAGAGTATTTCTCGTACTCTGATCTAACTTCGGGCGAGTTTTGAACTTCGTCGTACATTTTTTCGTAGTTTGGACATTTGATGCCGTAGAGAACTGCATCGTCTTTTTCTGGAAACCGGAAGTAGAGATACAATACAAATCTTTTTTTGCAAACAAGTTTATGTAAATGTAAATTTTGCTCACTCAAATCAAAAGATTAACTAAATGTAGCTGACATTTTATCTACCTCCATACACAATTCTACAAAATCAAATTCCGTAATAGATACCTTCATGACTGATTGAATTCAGGATAATTTGTAATTTCATGATTTACTTTGAAGTAAATGATGGGTATTACCGCTTCAGAGATTAAAGGAATATCTAATAATTTAAATTACATTGTGGTTTACTATAGGGACGATAAAAGTAGTAAATATTTATAGATTTTTATGGAAATAATGTCTGATAAAATGTAAAATAAACCTGTACAAAATTAAGGTCATTGTATGGATTTTTTTTTTTTTTTGGAGAATGCATGCCTGCAAAATGTTTCCTAGGAAAATGAATTATATACCTACATACCTGGTACGTAGTTGTAAGGAACAGGTTGCCAATTCAACCCAGGATACCAAACTTGACCACATTTCGGTTGAAATAAGCTGCCCAAAGTCAACAAAAGTGACATTTTTGTTCTGTTTCTGTCGGTACTTCTTGAATCAACCAAATCAGGAATATATAGTTCTCCAAAGAAGCTGTCGTACCTTTCTCTGAGCGCTTGGCCTATAGAATATTCTCGTCTTTTACCAACCTGAAAGTAGTTTGTTTCAAAATTTTTTTGCTTCAGAAATCTGCACTTACATTGGTCAACTGGCCGTGTTTGTAAGGGTAATAGGAGTAATTGAGCCAAGGGTCGTTCGGGTATAATTCTGAAAGCTCTGGCGTTCGGTTTCCATGTCTGAACATCTAGAAATAGCAAAAACTCATATGAATTAACAGAATATTGATCAAAATTGCCTTAATTGTATAGGAGTATTTTTCGGTCATACTCAATTTTTGCCTATCATCCCTCTTTGGATAAAGAAATCTTCCAATTAAACTCGAAACAAATCAGAAAAACCGAAATAAAAATGTAATTCTAAATGCTAAATAAGCGCATTTATCAATTCTTGTTAAAAACCTTCTATTTTAATCCTCTTCCCCGAGTAATCTTGCAGTTAGTTTCGTCGATCCAATTCTGGATCCGATCAAGATTAAGTTGTATTATTTATTTATTTCAAGCAAACGGGCATCACCCAGCTTTGAGCAAAAAAACCCTATAACTTAAATACTTAAGAACTAAGATAAAATTGGCATAAAATACAAAACTATAGAACGACGAAAACAACACAGACTATTATCACATTTGGAAAAGTTACATCCTCTTGAATTTTATTTTCAAAAAAAAAATAAAGATTCAATAAAAATATCACCTTCAAAGGAATTTGTGTTCCTCATCAATTTTGACATGTCCATACAGGGTGCGATAGAAATTTGTCTCAAAAGTTCTATCATTTCTAAGAATTCTTTGTGGAACATAAAATTGAAGTTTAGAAACAAGTTCAGTGCATTGTTTACCAATTTAAAACAAGCAATAATGTCGGTATTATATCTACGTCTTTCAAGACTTTTGAATGGATATAGTCTGTTCAAGATTGTCATAGCTTACATTTTCGACATTCAAATGTAACTTGCAGGCAATATATCTCAAAAACTTGCTGTATGTACACTGTCCAATTTATCAATGTAAGTTGAGTAGGAAGGATTCCAGATTACAGAACAGTTTTCCAAGTGAGGTCTGACAAGGGCGGTATGTAACAATTTTATTACAAATACATTATCAAAATCTTTGGTATTTCTTTTCATGAAAATAATGTCCTTAGCGCGTTATTCCTACAATCATCGATATGATATGAAAAACTTAGTTTGGAGTCGACTAAATACATCCAAATCCCTAATAATATCTACCTGCTCTAACCTGCTGGTGTTTATATGATAAGAGTTAATTTTTTTTCGTTAAGGATTTTGAAAACTTGATAAATTTGCACTTTCAACATTAAGAAACATTTTATTTGAAATGCACCAACTATGAAAACTTTTCAAGTCCATCTGAATATTTTTAGCACAATGCTCAGTGGTGATAGCCTTTTAAACCTCTAAATCATCAGCATACAGTGAAAACTTGGAGAACTTGAAGCAGGACTTGACGTCATTTATAAAAATGTTAATTAAAAAAGATGAGAGGTGCCCGCCCTAAGGAACTCCAGATATAACCCTAAACGATTTACTGAAAGTATTATTTATTTTAAGAATTTGAGTTCGGTTGCTTAAAAAAGCAGTCCAACTAATTTAACAAACTACCTGCAATACCATAATAACATAGTTTCTCTAATAATATCGAATCGCTTTGAGAAATCTGGGTATATAGAGTCTATCTCAAATCCTTTTTTCAGGTTTTTATAGATAAAATCAGTATGAGTAAGAACATTAGTTTGAATTGAATTTTGTTTCAAAAATCCATGTTGGTTAGGCATTATTAAATGGGTGATACTTATTCAGTTCCAAGAATTCTGTGATAGTACTCTCCATTATTTTAGAAATTGAGTTGTTGAAAAGTAGCCATAGGGGTCTGGATAGACATCCTAAAATTAAAATAGCCAACAGTTATATTATTAGTAGATAAGGGTAAGTTGCTGTTTGAGACATTTAGATCTTTATCAACATAAACATGCAGAGGCAAAATATTCGGCAAATACATTAGTAATTTCTGTGTCATTTGAAATTTCTCTAATTCCAGTTTTCATTAATTTGGGGATTTTTCCTTGATCTATCTTTGAATCTACATAGTTCCAGAAAGCTCCCACGTTCCAGTTTATTCATGTAATTCGTATAAGAACCTTGAGGCAAACTTTTACAAATAATTCGGATTTCTTTAAATTTCTCATAATAAGTTAGAGTAGGGTTAGATTTGTATAGTTTGTGACATTTATTCTTTTCTATAGAATAATTTTTAAGCTCTTGATCAAACCAAATAAAGAATTTAAAATCAAAGTTGACTCTATTTTTTGGTACAATTTCATCAATACACTGATTAATAATATTGTCAACTCATAAATGTCTACAAGCCCACAGACTATAAAAATGAAATGAATTTGGCGCTTGTACCACAGAAAATTGAACTGACTCTGCTGACAGTAGCAATAATTCTTGTATAAATTACGCGCACCGCAATGCAGTCAGGCATAGGTCAGTCTCCACAGCCTTAAGCTCCTCAAGGGTACAGGCCAAAAGACTTTCTCTCCATGTTGGGTGTGACTTGCTATAGTACGACTGAGATTCTAAGGTGAATGTCATGCTGTAGGCCTACTCAACGCGCCAAACCTAGACCTATGGAAACTAAGCTCCTCGAGGGTACATTTTCATAGGGCTGTTTGGGTACTATTGTGTAACAAAACGGCCTAAAAATCCCTTTTTTTTTGCTTCGTAATACAATTAATTGGTTTTTTTACCCAGCTAGATTAAGTCCCTAAATTTCTGACGAAACCGTGTCAAGAGCCAAGGGTTTATCAGTCGGTTTCTGAAAGAGTGTGATGACTGTGTCTCAAAATACTACTCTCGACTCCTGGTTCCATGAACAAATCGCATGTTTTGCGACCGATAAGAATCCCAAAAGCGTCATCAAGCTGCCAATATAAATAGGCCTGTGAGCATCCTAGAATCATTCAGTTCTGTAATGAAGTTCTGGTGTTTAGTGTTGACGTCTTTCTGCTGCCTTTACCAATGCTAAAACAAAGTCACCCTTACCCAACCGTCACAATCAGGTGACGGTGGTAACAATTGACAGCGTAGGGCTTTCCCTAAAAATAGGCATTCCAAGAGAATGTTAAATGATGGCCCACCAGGGAAGAACTTTTCCTGCGATCTATTTTTGGTAAACCCTATTTAATCATCTCCTACATAAATAAAGGTGTAACAATAGATGTATTAACTACTAGTGGTGAAATCTTTCCTTTCCCCCATAACCTCTTTTCAGGATAAAACCTTAGTCGACGCAGCCAAGTGTATAGAAAGTGGTGTCACCGGTGACCACAAACAACTTAAGCGTGACAATATGATAGAATCTAACCACAGCTATATCTACATCACAATCTAATATGAAATTCTAATCAATATTCAACAAGATATGATTGAGATTGCTAGAATCAAAGTTATATTGAAACTCAACATTATTATGCTCAAACAAAATTTGGACTATTGACACAGATTACTTACATACAGATGCGAAAGAGCGGCGAATTCGTGATTCAAGATTAATTTGATAGACATAGGCTGGCCGCACCAATGCCACATCTATGTATTTTGAACATATTTATTATATAAATGCGGAAGCTCAATAATATAATATTATTTCTTTAATTGGTTCACAAACAGCAAAAAAATATTGTTTTCTACCGGCAAAGAAATGTAAACACACAGGCTGGAACATGCTCACGCACTCGGCCACGTTAATTGTCCTGACGCGGGCGATCTTTATCTATGCGTGGGGTTGCTGGCAGCCCGGCATCGTTACAGAATATCGTCGACAGCAAGTATACGTACTTACGCATCTGTAGTAGGTGATCTGTGCTATTGACATCAATATCAAAAAGTAAGGCAGGATAATGATCATCACAACTCACTAAGGTGTCCTGAGCAATCTCAATTAGTAGATCACCCTTATCAGTAAAAATTAAGTCCAAGAACACATTTCTAGCATTTAGTATCTAGCATCTAGCATCTAGGTAAATTGTTTACTTGAACAAGATTAGACAAGCAGAATGCAGCAGTCAAGCATTCATAGTGGAAGGGCTATGTATAAGTTGATTATATGTATATGTATAACTTTCGATATTAGTAAAATTAGGCAAATTGTATTCACCAAAAATAAACACAGAATTGCATTCGTACAAATTAGAAAAGTGTTCAATACTATTCTCATGATTTTCATATTCTGACAATTTAGATTGAAGTGGGAAATATACTACACAAAGAATCAATAAAGAATTGTTAATCAGAATCCTTAAGTAAGGATAATTATACCTATTATAATTTGAAAGAGACACATTATCAGAGAAATCCTTAAACTTAGTACAGAGACGTTTTGGTAATAAATTGGAATATAAAAATCTAAAGCTGCAGGAAACATTAAGCTCATTGGTACTACTGTTGATTGATAAATTAGCGTCCATGAGTAAAGGATGATCTGTTATATTCCAGAGTACACTTTTTGATAGAAGAAAGACTCCAAAAATCCAGTTTCTGGCGATAATTCACTATCAAACAGCATAACAACTCTTCTTGATCCTTATTGAGTATTATTTTGATGCTACATCTTCTACCCTGGTTCTTGGACTTATCCAAATATGGTTCTCTTTTTATTGGAGAGCCTTATGTTCATCGTTATCCGTTCCATAACCTTTTGTGTCTTAAATAGTTCTATAATCTACAATTGTTCATTGGAAAGTCTGTTCTTCGACATCCATTGAAGCTGAACTGACACGTGTGGCATTTCTGTAGATTGTCTCATCAATTGCCTCATCCTCCTCTTTGATTTTGTCTTTGCCACTTCCTCTCATGCGTCGTTTAATATTTAATTGACGCTGTTTGTGTCATCTAGTTTTGACCCTTTTTTCATAGGTTTCTCCAGTGGGCTTCGGAATTCTTCTGTTCGCACATTCAATTGATGATAGTCATTTCCTCAAACAACTTTTTTAACCTCGATTTTGATTTTAGGTCTCTGACCTTTAGGACCACTGCCTCTGTAGTTAATCTGTTAATAATTTTGACCTGATGTATGTAAAGGTACCTACATTTACATAGTAATTTATTTAGTTTTTCATGATATGGTTTGAGGATATTCATATCCATTTTCTATTATCGGATCTTCT